ACACACACACACACACACACACACACACACACACACACACACACACACACAAATACATAGGCCTACAGAAAGTGAAGAGAGACAGAGGGGGTGAGTAACATAGGGAGAGGATAGCAGATCTCGAGAGAGAGTGACAGCTACGACTACAGAGAGATACAGAGAGCGACAGATTCTCACAGACATACACAAACAGACAAAAGCAGATAGATCGATCAGCACTTTACCCCTTGTACACAGAGCTCCCCAACTCTTATTAGATCTATGTAGTAGGCCCTATTAGGCCCTATTACATTTAATATACCGCACGGTAAGTCTTTTGATGCGTTGCAAGCTCATTATTTTATTTTAGCCCGTTTCTTTGATCACCTCCACTGTAAGGTCCTTTATCTAAATCCTGACGAATCTACACCAAAATCTGGAATATCCATCCACGTGAATGTGAAGAATGGCGGCGACAGCGCTGTGCAGAATACGCTTTGAAGAATATTTCGAGTAACATACATTTTGGTAAGACAGAGAAGAAATTTGAGGTTAGAATCTAGATCACTTTGTTTGAAATTTATTCTTAATAAACAGGCGATTGTACAAAAGCTCAAGATTTTAAAATCTAGATCTGCAATCGAAGTAACAAACCAAATTCACAAGTGTATCGATAATGGGGGAGTCTGGACAACCAGTCGCTAGGTCGGACACACCCACCTCCTCAACGCGAGACCCCTTTTGCCCCTCAAATGATGGTACTTCGTACTTCTCTCTGGAAGCAGTTTACAACGATGAGGGTGCTAGAAATGAGGTAGAAGTTTCGCTCGGTAATGTTGTAAATCTAGCTCCAAGTGATGATTACTCAGTTGCAGATTCTTTCTCGTATCCTCTGGAACATCTTTTAAGAAGTGGACAAGACAATGTTGATGTTCAGTGCTCTTTTGGTGGTGTAAATAATAACATGCCAAACATTGAAGAACCCCAGTCTGTTCAGATAGATCCTGTAGGTTTAAATTTTAGCCAGTACGGCCAAGAAAATGATTGTGGAATTACCTCTGGGGATGAAACAGATTGCAATCACAAGAAATATTCCGGTTGTCTGAAGAGAGATGCATTGCTTTTCGAGGACGACACTGATTGTGCTTTTCAAGAATTGGAATGGAAGCAGCAAGGAAGGAATTTAGTTTCACCAAGATGGGGTGTTCAAGACGAGTCAATGCTTTCAGGGCATGATGAAGTTCAAAGTGAGATAGCGCACTATTCAGCAGACAGTAATCAGTATTTGCTGAATTGTTCAAATTCAGTTGCTCACAGACAAAATCATGATTCCAAAGATTCACAGTCTCTTGACTTAAACTATGAGCCTACCAGGAAAATATCAACTCTGAATTCTTTCATGCCTGAAAGTACTAAAAGTCACCCTCAAGTATTATTCTCTGAGCGGAGACCTTATTCCTTAGGTGATAGCAGCTCAAAAAATGCCATTGCTGCTAGGGAAAACAGAATAAAAAAGAAGCAATATGTTTCTGGATTGGAAGAAAAAGTTAGCAAAATGGAAGTAGAAAACAAGAGTTTGCGACAAGAATGTGTAAAGAATAGGGACCTTCTAAGTTCATTACAGGAAGAAGTTGATTACTATCGGAGTGTCATTTCTAATCAGACAACTCTGTCTGCAGTACTAAAAAATGTATTAAAAACACCAGGAGTTCAGTTAACAACTTCATTTGTGCATGAAGATGTGAATTCCTTGAAGGAGCAAAGGCTTATATTAGAGGGTTCTAAGGGTGAACCATTGGTTCCAGTGAATAAAGGCGATAGTCTGTCTCAAAGTCATTCAAGTGTGGATTCAAGGGATCATCAAAGAAGAAAGGTTGGCACCGTCACTGACAAGAGGAAAAAAAATCTAAGGTCCATTTCAGGTGGGATGAAAACAAGAAGTATGAAGGATTTACCTACTTCGAAGAAGCGAAAAGAAATGTATTGTTCAAGACAAAGTTCTCACACTGGGTGCTCAGAGGATGATAATGAGGAGATTGGTGTAGATTCTGTAGATTCAATTAGTTCCACTCCTCATCGTCATTACTTTCCAGAACATGCAGAAACTGATGGCGATGCCACCAACACAGGAGGAATATGTCTGCACGTTTCCGGAAAAGCAGTGTCTGTGGAATTCTGCAGACACTGCAATGCAAGGGCAAAATTTTCTGTTTTGTCTGATCACTCTTACATAAAGAGTTGATGCCGTCCTAAGAGACAGATTATTCATCTCCTGAGGCTGTTCCTGTTCAAATCATTTTCAGCTGTGTAGATTGTTGTAGAAATTGATATTTTGTGAAACTGAAATTGAAAGAAAAAAACCATTACAGTAGTCTCCGCCTAAGATCCCACCGCTTACGGTCCCGGTTCGCTTAAGATCCCGCTGTTTTAGGAAAACAGAATTTTTACTATACAAAAGTCACCTCTAAGATCCCGCTCTGATTCACTCTGAAGGTCTACATTCGGCTAAGATCCCGCATTTCAGATCATAATTTGAGGAACAAAAACCCGGGCAGGCACAGCTGATCAACCAAGAGTGAAAAGTTGAGATCAATAAACTGTCCGTCGCGTCAAAGATCAGCCACTATCGTGAATGTGATCACATACAGGTTGTAAAACTCGATGAAGCGATACAATGCTTGCCCCAGACCGGATCACACCGGGGTGTGAACTGACCGACACATTTGTTTTCCCCACGCATCGCTCTCACACCTGAGCTCTCCCCCTAAACTTACATCACTCGCTGGGTGGGAAGGGCATACTAAGTTCGCTCCAGGCGGGATCACATTGAACTGTGAACTCTTCCCTGACCATTGAAGAAGTTGTCTCTACTCCCGAATTTGCGAGACAGACTGAATTTTAATTGGTGTGTTCACACCGTAATGGTGTGTAACGACAAAGGCGGTTGGGGGTGGGAGTGGGGGGAGGGACTCGGTCAGAGATGGAAAGCTACAAATTTTCGACAGGGAAGGGGGAGGGGCAACTGGATACGCATAGATCTTGAGACTCAGGGTAGGATAAAAAGTGAAAATGGCACGCCTCATGCCACTATGCACTGTGATAGGTCATCAAGGTTAACCACTCTCTCCTCGCCATACGTCATAAACCCAAAAAGTGGTCACGTCAGTTCATTTTAGAGTGGAGGGAGACCATTTTACCGATTGTGAACCTTAGCATGGGTCACCATAGATTCTTCCCTGGGTTCGTCGGTTAAGATCCCGGTTCGCCTAAGATCCCGCATTTCCTTGCTCCCGAGCACCGGGATCTTAGGCGGAGACTACTGTATAATGTGGCTGAAGGGTCTCAATGGTTTTTTAAAGCGTTGTTGTACTAAAAATTTTGCTGAAGTCTTTTCTTGCAGGTTTTTTGTAATTTTTACTTTGAGCTGAATAGAGAAAGACCTTGAGAGTAACTCTGTATTTAGTTTTAAGTAGGGGGCTGAACATTGTGATTATTATTATTTGAAGAAAGTGTACTTTATAGATTAGCGCGGAGTTCATGAATGAGTAAGTAAACCTAGATCTAGATCGAGATTTATTATAAAATTGAATGGTGCATCTTATTTTTTTTATGAACTCATCTCCGTTTTGACCTGGTGCAACACTGTGTGGTTATGATTTTGGAGTGTACTTTTTTTTTTCCTCATTCATGGGAAATGTTTTTGAGTCAGTTACTGTCTAACTTTAACATCACATAATTATCTATCTGTTTTTACAATACTTTTTTTCATTAGTCCTGTAGTGAATATCATGATCTTGCATTTTAGGTTTGATTACATACATGATGATGATGTGATTTGGTGGCCAGCACTTCAAAATGAGACGAATGCTGCAGGGCTTATTTAGAAATGATCAGACAAGGGTGTTTAGGTCAAATTTGCATTAATTTTGCTTGTACAAGTAGTGCAGTGCATCTTTCCATAAAGTTTGCTTTAAAGTCTTTCCTCAAGAGTATGGAAGTTTGAGTTGACTTGTTGGCTCAGTGCGGCTCAGTACCCTTTTTTTTTAGTTCAGAAGTATTTAATACTAGATCTAAGTCATTCTGTTTTCTCAGCTTAATCAGAAATTAGTATGAAATTACTTTGGGTGACATTTTTCCACCCATTTCATACCGGATTTTGATTTCAATTGTTACCAGTTCTCTCTCAATTTTCTGGTAAAATGTAATTCTTAGAGTCCTTTCCGTCTCAGTTTGAAGGGTTGCAAGACGTTCGTATTTTGTGGTTAAATAAGTTTGTTTACATTTTTCAGCTCAAGTGCTTGACATTGGAGTGGATGTCTTTTCATCACTTAAAAATAATGGTCTGTGAATTTCTTTGTTTTTGTTTGTGATGTTTTCTTGTTAGTGAAATGTAGTGTGTGCTTGTTTCTGTCATAGGCTGTTTGGCAGATTGTTTCTACGTTTAAGTTTTAAAACACTGCTTTGTTTAATATCATGTTCAACTGAGCTTTTATGAAAATTGTCTCTATGGATACACGTTTATTTATTTAGTTTGCATTAAGAATTCAAGTTCCATTTTATAATAATTCAGAGTAGAAAAAAAACATGATTTATTATTTCAAGTTTAGGGCTAGTTCTAGATGAGTGTGGGCTAAAGCAAAATATATAAATAAAATTAATTCTCAAGTTCAGAAAGCAAAGTTTTCATGCTCTCTCCAAATAGAAGAAAAATTTATATATTAACAGATTTGTCAAATCATCACAATTATATTATTGGTGCAATAGTGACTTTATTATTTATATTATCTTAAAAAATAACCAGCAATTTGTGGTATGGTACATTAGCCTTCAAGTCTCAACAAACAAGAGATTTTAAATACATACCGGTAATGTTTCTTTTCTTTCTTTAATTCTTTTATGACAATGAAGTCTACCTTTGACAATCGGTAAATATTGGCATATAATGTAAAGTGCCTTTCTGAATATATCGGAATATGAATGGAATTTTAAAAAAGAAATAAACATCAATTTTGTGACCGTGCCATCATATATCCAAGCTGCTCATATTTTGTTAAGTGTCTCTCTCCCCCCCCCCCCCCCCCCCCTCATTTGTTTTGTGTGTGAATTTGTAATCTCTGACTGTAAAATAGCCTGTAGTCTATTAAGTCTGTAGTGTATGAAGCCTGGTCCTCCGAACAGTTTTTGTTTCGAAAGCTGCGGAGGTCAAGGGCATTTCTATTGTAAAGATGCCTTTACTGTATCTTTATTATTATGCTGACCATCAGCCTTTTCATTTTTGGCTTTGGTCTTGTTGCCTAGGTCTTTATTAAAGGCTGACTGTAAAGGAGAATTGCCAATCCTTTTGTGTGCTTTTATCATGGAATATTGTATAAATTACTGCTACTGGCAGTTAATACCTGACCTTATTGCATCCTTTTGTATCTTCCGTGCGATGTGTATATATGCCAATCACATATATCATTACTGAGAACATGTGGCATTTCAATCATATTGTATTATTGTTCCTGGTTCTACTATTTTGACACAATTCTAACTCACTTTTTCGTCTTTCTCTCACAGGTGATGACCTCATCTTTACAACCTAGTCTGGTTGAGAAGCGATGAGTCAGCCTTTATGGCAGACATAGTATGTTTGTATTTGTCTTGGTTTGTTTGGAGTTCCTCTCACTGAGAATTCATCCAGTACAGGGGTCAGTCTTTTTTTTTTCAATCTTTCATGAGGTTGATATTTTTTATAGTTTATGCGACAATTTGTTGCATTTATTCAGTTACAGCAAATTTTTAAAAAAGACTAACCGTATTTCTCATGGGGCTGACCTCTTGGCTCTCCGGCCATAACTTGGCTGCTCACAAACTCCGGAAGTTGTGTCATTTTGTGCAGATTTGGTGATGAAAATTTTTGAACAGGCAAAATTGACTTCAGGACTTCCACTAGAAAAGAAAAATATTTTGACCGTTTGGCAGGTGAATAGTCCTAACTTGTAGTCCTTTCAATAAACCCTTATTGGAGTGAAATCAGCGTTAAGAATGAGGGATTGGCCATCAGGTTTTCGCCCGTAAAACATAAAAATTGTTTGAAGCGTTTGAATCAGGTGGGGGTGGGGGTGGGGGGGGGTGGGGGCTCCCCCTCCCCCTTGGGGGGTGGGGGGTGGGGGGCTCCCCCTTATAACTTATATTGACAGCCTCACTTACCAATGGTTTTAAAAGTTATCTTTAAAAGTTCTTTTCCCACAAGTTTTTTTTATATCTCTTTATTTTCAATTTTGAAAAATATTTCTGCTCCCTGAATGTGGCAGAAAATGGCAATACAAATTAATGAATGTGACACACAACTATAAGGGTTAGATCTTATAATCTATATTTTCCTTGATAATTATTATACTGGCTTGAAAAGTTCTCAAACATCCCTATATTTAGTAATGTTTTATGATAATGAGCGAAATCAAAAGACGTAATTTTGCCTCCATGCCTCCGTAGGACACCAAAGTAATAGTAGTTTTTCATCTAAACTATGTCAGTATTTCAGAAATCTCTTTGTTTTTGGTTAGGAAAATGATCATATTAAAGAACCGTAAAAGAATTATATCTCATTACAGTGGAACTTTGATTCTACGGAAGACCAGGATTCAACAAAAAGAGAAAGATTTCTCGTTTTTGTTTGTTTATAAATATCAACAAAATAAGTGGGATTCAACGAACATATAACTGAGCAAACTCTGATTCATCGAAATAGCAATGAACATTATCTTACACTCCATTCCAAAAGACCTTTGATCGCATTTGCACAGTGGATCATTACACGCCTATCCTATCCTATTGGGTACACCTTTTGCGTCCTGTCACATTTCCTTCTTTCACACAAACACATGCTTTGTCGACGCACTTTTAAGATATAAATTGTTTCAGTGTGTGCCAAGGTCGAGAGAGGTCGGTTGTGTGGCTGTAATTGCACATGTCTAAGAGAATTGGTGGGGGGGTATTCACAAGTGTTTCGGGTGTGAAAAGTCGGCAGAGATACAGACAGGTCACAGTCATAATCCACCCCTCCACCCAGATATTGGATAACGAAAGACTAGTCTAGACTTACATGTATCTATGTAATGAATTGTCTGCTGGTCTATGGAAACCTACATTGCAGTTTTCGAAGCCCTACATTGTGACTCATCATTTTTCTCGCATTGCCATAAAGAACACTCAGATTAAGCAAATTGGAAGGTCAGCCCCAACGACTTCGTTATAGCCGAATTTATTAGGTAGTGTCTTGGAAAAAATGGAAAAGCTGATCCCATTTATGTTTAGGGCTAGGGCTCAGTGAGTTAAAGCTATCCACAAAGAGTTTTACTTTTCCTTTCTGAAAAGTCATGGTAGTGGTAGCCGTGTTTTTCAGCATTGACTGAAGACTCCTGTCCTGGATGAAATCTGAAAATATCTATCAGGTAAGCTATATATGAGATGGAGCTCCTTTGTGAAAAAAGTTTTTCTTGTTTTACTGTTTTTGCACGCCAGCTGGTGACAATTTATGTTGCAACTTGATTTACGTTTTACAAGCCAAGGTTAGAACATACTTTCCTTTTTTTTGTCTTTCATGGCCACTGAAATCTAGATTTTTATCACATCTCCTAATCAAACTAGACATGATTTTTTGGGTAATAGGCGGGTTTTTGACTTAAGTGTTGGATGCCATTTTATGAAATCTTTAAGTTCTCACGAGTGGTTAACTCTTAAGCCCTGGTTACACTCAACGATAGATTGCATCAGATTCGTGGTTTGTGAGAACTGTCCGTTTTATCGAGCTGTGTAGTCTGTTTAGACGTTCCAATCCATCTTCCAGTTTTCTTTTGATCAGAGAGATTCCTAGTCATTGACTTGACTGCAGATGTGCAACGCACAGGGTGACCTTGATACACAACTTCACCATTGACGATCAACTAAATAATAAAATTGCTAAAATATACTTAATAACGCATCGAATCAGGTTCCTTTGCTTATTTTGAGACGCTGATTCCGAATATGAAATCAGTTTTTACCTGTGATACTTATTAAAAAAATTTTAAGCCCGAAGTTTAATCCTGCGCGGCAGCAAATTTTAAAGTGATTCTACATCACAGCGCATCTCGCTCAGATCTGGCCGTGATTGCACTGAAAATATTAAGCAGCGCTTGATTTCTGAGATTTTCTCGACCGAGTCTTCAAGCCATCGTTCAAACTTTGTACAATTTTGTGGTTACACCTGACGATTTGTCTCATGATCGATAGATCATTCAGTTTTTGTTCAATTTATCGTTGAGTGTAACCGGGGCTTTAGGTCAAGAAAGGTTTGCGAATAAATAGTTAATGCAAATGACCAACATTTAAATTTTGGGCTACGTCCATAAGCTTTTAATGACAAATATTGACATTGAAAGGTTTCTTTTCCCCATTTGATACTTTCGCTGCTATTTGATTATTTTGTTTATGAGTCTGTGAAGGTTTTATTGAGATGCGGTTCAGGATTCAGTCTTGGATCTAAAGGATCACCCAAATGTATTGCAACATCAAGGTTCATATATGTAGTAGGTGTACAAACAGTGGAAAATACCTCCACTACCATAATGGGTTCGGATGACTAATCTCTGCCTAAGATTTCACTGCTTGTGATCCTGGTTTGCTTAACAAGATCCGGATGTTTAAAGGAAAAATAATTTTTACAACAGAAAAAGTCACTCATAAGATCCCGATCTGAAGGGTTTTGTTTGGCTAAGGTCCTGCATTTCAGATCGGGATTTATGGAGCAGATACCCAGAGGTGGACACAGCTGATCAACCAAGCAGCGAAATTTTGCGATTATTGTACTTCCCACTACTTCACAGATATCCACTCTCGTGAATGCGACTACAGCTCCCGTTGCACGTCTTTATTATAAGGTACAATGTTTGCCTTAGATGGGACCATGCTGAGGTGTGAACTCGATGATGTGTTTGTTTTTCCCAAACATAACACTCACATCTGGGCTGTCTATTGGAACTTACATCACTCACTAGGTGGGTAGATTCTTGGGCCTACAAAGCCGCATCAGATGGGGTCACATCGACCTGTGTACTACTCGATGCTTGTTTCCCTCACCATTGCAGCAGTTGTTTTCATCTCTACACCCAAATTTGCTAGACGCACTGAATTTTGATTGGTGTGGTCACAACACAGCAGTGCATTACGACAGGCTAGGGAACTTGATCTGAGATAGAAGGCTGTAAACTTTGGATAGGTAAAGGGGAGGAGCAATAGGGTCGGTACCGGTATTAGTTTTGAGACTCATTAGATTTACAAGTAAAATTGGCATGCCTCATGCCATTGTGATTGGTCATGAATGTTGATCACTGTTTGCTTGCCATAAGTCATAAACTGACTACAGGGATCATGTCAGTACAATTCAAAGTTTTGGGAGACCATTTTAATTTTACTGATATTGGACTTGACCGTGAGTCACCATGGATTTTCCCCTTGGCATGTCGGCTACGGTTCCGTTCGCGTAAGATCTCGCATTTTCCTTGCTCCCAAGCACTGGGATCTTAGGCTGAGACTATTACAGTATTCTTTTTGATCCTTTTTTCTCTTTTTAGCTGTTTGTTCTACATGTTTGTAATGACAGAACACACAGAGCTGGGGTTTTGTATTTGGCCACACAGAACACTGAACTGAAGGAGGAATACTTCTGTAGCCTACTTGTCCTCACTGATAAAAAATACTTTGATTTTTCTAAAACCTGTTACTGTTAGTCAGTGATTGTTTTTCAATCAGCGTCTTATTACCCGAACTCCTGTGTTTTTACTCTAGGAACTGTTTAACCCGCTAGTGATGGTCTTATTTTAAGCTCAAAATTTCAAGTAAAGACCCCATTCAAGTAAAGACCCCATTCAAGTAAAGACCCCATGCATGTTAAAATGACGCATGTTTGGCTTCATTTTCTTAATAGACTTTGGGATTTACTGCAGTCCTGCCAGATGTTCCATTAAGATCAAAGTTCCCTGATTTTTTTTTTGTCTGTTGAAGGTCTCCGATGGGATGATATTCATAAAATCTTTTTTTTTTTTTTTTCCGTTTATATCTGATCATGTATGTCTTGTGGCAAATAACATAAGAATGCTCATTTTTTATTTGCAATATATGCATGACTCATAAAAATGATGTAAAAAAATGTAAACAAATTTTAAAATTATTGTCTACAACTTCTGAGGTTCTGGAGACTAATTTTATTTCCTAAACTGCTGGGGTTTTAAAAAAGAAGGAAATTTGGAGGAAAACAAAATCTACGTTTGGCTTTGGTCATGGAGTGATTGGTAGGTCTGCTATTGTACTTTCATCTACAACCATAATTTCTATATTTTAAAACTCCTCGATATTGGGTATGTATATACAAGGTATCCCAAAAGTCGTGCACATTCCTTAAAACCTTTTTCTTACTCAGGAATTGGCGATTTGAAGAGTACAGTGACCGTTGAGTGCCAATATTAAAGATGACCCCAGAAATATTTAGGCTTGCCTAAGATTGCTTTCTTGAGAGTTAATACCGGTTTTTCTGCTGAAGGAGCTCATTTTGAACATTTTGAAATAAATTAATGTCATCATTCTAGCTGTTTTTAAAGATAAAAATCAGGATGGTGTACGACTTTTGTAACATCTTTTATTGGGCTATGGCAGACTGGTTGGTAGTGTTGGTCTCACTGGCATCAAAATCTCCAATTTTGTATGCGTTCACCTTACCAGGGTCCTGATTCTTCATAATTGTGCTCACCGTGGGCTATGATATTCTCAAGATAAACAGTTTGCTCTTGTAGGATAGGTATAAAAATAAATATAACAATTTGTTTGCTTTTTGTTTTACCTTTTTTTGGTAGGGTCTAACTGCTTTTAGTTCTATAAGCAATAAGCAAGCTAAGGATAGGGCCTTAAGTTTTTAG